TGTTTAAATAAAACTGGCAGCGTAATGCTGAGGGATTGTTTAACTAAAATTGGCAGCGTTATGCTGAGGGACTGTTTAAATAAAACTGGCAGCGTCATGCTGAGGGACTGTTTAAATAAAACTGGCAGCGTCATGCTGAGGGACTGTTTAAATAAAACTGGCAGCAGTATGTTTGAGATTGTTTTACTGAAAAACGCAGCTTGTTGTATTGTTTCATGTAAAAATACAGCATCATTTGAATGTTTTCTTTAAAATGGCAGCATCATGCTGTGGGATGTGTTTGTTAAAAATAGCAGAATGTTGCTGTGGGCTTGTTTGGTTAATTATCTCTGCATTATGCTTCCTGATTCCTGTTTTAGTAGATCTTCACTTTTTCCAGAAGGCAGCATAAATCAGATTTTTAGGGTACAAAACATATTTCAATTTAGCCGAACCCTGACACGGACAGCCTAAGGCTCTTTATTGTCTTCATTTTATTGGTTTAGAACAGTGGTTTCCACTTTTTGCCACATTCTGAAAGCAACACTGTTTCACCCAGATAATAAAATAATCATTTTATCTCAGTATCCCATATTAAGTGCATCTTCTAAGAACTCAACTATGTATTTTTAAAGTGTCAGCTCATTAGATCAGATGTATAATCCGAAGGGATGAATGTTAGTATGAACAAAAGATGAGGTGAGATTTTTTTTTTTAATTGAAAAGAATCCTGGAAATAATTGTAGATGATGCATAGAGGATACTCGGTCCTGTCGGTGTTGTGCTGTTTACAAAGTGACCCAGGATAAATTTGACACGTTGGTTGTTTTCCACAGTATCTGTTCATCAAAGTGTCTAACTCAAACGTGACATGTTTGGTTGGTTTCCCTGGCAGGCATCGCTCTGCTCTACCTGCATCTCCACAGCGTGTTCAGAGAGGAGTCCCTCCTGCAGAAAGCGCTGGAACACGTCAGCCGCAGTCTCAAGTCTTTGACCCAACGCCACGACGTCACCTTCCTGTGCGGAGACACGGGGCCGCTGGCCATAGCTGCTGTGGTGTATGCTCGCCTCCAGAGGGCGCAGGAGTCTGACGAATGCATCAACAGGTCGCCGTTCTTTTGGTTTGGAGTTTTTATTTGGATGAAAGAAAGGTGGAACCAGCTCTGAGCTTTTCCTGCTGCTTCTCTCTCCTTAGACTGATGCAGTATTACCAGACGGTGGTGAACGGCTCCGGCGGGCTGCCAGATGAGCTGCTGTACGGCCGCGTGGGCTTCCTCTACTCCCTGGTCTTCATCAACCAGCAGTTTGGTCAGGATCGGATCCCTCTGCAGTACATCCAGCAGGTGGCTGCCTGTCAGGGTCCATCTGCTCTGGTTCGTATCTTCCAGTAGTTTCAGATTTCAATTACTTTTCTTCCCCATTTCAGATCAGTGAGGCCGTTCTGGCGTCAGGAGAGCACCTCAGCAGAAAGTTCAGGGTCCAGAACCAGAGCCCGCTGATGTACGAGTGGTACCAGGAGCAGTACGTTGGCGCCGCTCACGGGCTCGCAGGCATCTACTATTTCCTAATGCAGGTGGGACACGGGTCTAGTTCTCTAACCTGTAGAAACAGAGGGAAGCCTTTATGGAGCTGGAGGGTTTAGGGTGTTTTCACACCTGTAGCTTTAGATCAATTTAATGTCAGGTTGACCTAAAATTGGTCCCATTTGGGTCAGTATGAAAGCACAACCGGACTCTTATGTGCGGCAACTAATTTGGCCTGAAGAGGTGATCTTGTTCACCTATTAGACCAGATGAGGATCTCATGGTTCACGTTAAGGAGCAATAAATCTGCGACTTATCCTGAATCAGGCAGATAATTCTGTTACGCATTTCCACGGCGTTGTTATGTTTAAGCTGCAGCTGTGCTTCATTTTCACACACTGTAGTTGTAAATGCAACTATATGGAAAAAAGCTACTAATAACCAGCGTTAAATAACCAGTCTCCACCACGAAATCTATATCCGTTTATCTCTGTTACGTTTTCAGCAGTACGCTTTATAACCTACGGGGTGAATTTTGTTCCATTATTACAAAGAAAATGTTTTGTAATCCAGAAATGAAACTTTTAAAAACTTTTTAACACAAAATTTCTCTCCTTAGACAGAAATTATTTTTCCATACTTTTACATTTTTTGTTCATATTTAAGTTTTTCAGATTTTTTATGATTGTTACAGATTGCAGTCTTTTTAAATCACCTTCTCTTCACTTCTGGGGGTGGGCTTTCCTCTGGAGTGAGGAGAAAAGAGGCATTTCTATTGGTTTGCTGCACGTTAGCAACAACATTTTTAAAATATAATCCGAAAAAGACACATTTAAATAACAAAATTTGAAAAAAATCAAAAATGAAAATATAAAAAGTGAAATATAAATAAGATAATATGACAAAGTTCCTCTTAAAACTTGTTCATCAGCTTTATCTGTAGAGCACTTTAAAACAGCTGTAAAACGTGCTGAACATAGTTAAAAGTAATAAAATGCAGCATACTTTAACCTCAGTTTTCTTCTCATTAAAATGTAAAAAGTTCAGGGCCGGCTTTTCAGGCTTTAATGTCGTCTCAAATGGTTCAATAAAGAATTAACTGAAAAAACCATCTCCCTGCCTTTGCCTTTAAAGGTTTTTCTTCAACTCTCCATTAAACTCCACATTAAACTCTTCACTGTTTTAGATAAACTTGGTTTCTTTTTCCGGCATTGAATCCAGTAGATTTTCTAAACCCTCCACTCAGCTCTCTGTCTCCAGACCAACTAAAGGTTCTCTGCTCCGCAGCCCGGCTTCGTCTCGTCAGAGGAGCACGTTCACCGGCTGGTGAAACCCAGCGTGGACCACGTCTGCCGCCTCAGGCTGCCCACGGGGAACTACCCTCCCTGCTTGGGGGACGACAGGGACCTGCTGGTGCACTGGTGTCACGGATCCCCCGGGGTGGTCTACATGCTGCTGCAGGCGTACAAAGTGAGGAACCAGAGAGCGGATACCAGTGGAGTGGCAGCGCCATCTAGTGGTTAAAGCTCTGCTGTTGTTCCTTTTGCAGGTTTTTGGGATCCCTCAGTACCTGGAGGAAGCTCTGCAGTGCGGAGAGGTGGTGTGGCGCTGGGGTCTGCTGAAGAAAGGCTACGGGCTTTGCCACGGAGCAGCAGGGAATGCCTACACCTTCCTGGGCCTCTACCGGCTAACGCAGGACCCCAAGCATCTTTACAGAGCCTGCATGGTGAGAGAGCGCCGCTGGCTCAGGATCGGTATCCACAGACGGAGCTCTGCAGGATTTAGACCAAATTTTACTAAACTTTGAGTCTGTTTTCCTTTTCCTCTTTCTCTGCCTTTGATCTGAAAGTTCAGTTAAACTGGCTTCAAAGCAGCAGCAGTCACGGCGAAAACGGTGCGGCGCCAGCCCTGAAATTGAAAATTATTCAGAAGACGGCGACAGAGCCTTTAATGTTTATTGACAGGCAGGTCACCGGCTGTCCCTGAGCGACGACACTGGGGTCCTTTTTTTTATTTTTTATTGTTGGCAGAGCTCCAACTCGTCCTCTGATTAATACAGGTCTGTTCAGAGGAGGCCTGATCCTAATCCCAAACCCAGTCAGACCAATAGGAGCTCAGCTTTAGCAGTTAATGTTTCAGGATTAATCCGCCCCGCGCCGCTCTTTGCTCTGTTTCCCTGCAGTTTGCAGATTGGTGCATGAACTACGGCAGGCATGGATGCCGGACACCAGACACCCCCTTCTCCCTTTTCGAAGGTAAGAAAATATCAAAATGATCCCACTTCTGGGATTTGTTTCTCCCCTTTTAAGGATAATACCTCATCAGAAGTAGTTTTAGACCCTTTTCCAGATAGATGTTTCTAACTTATTTAATTTATTTTTTTTTATTTAAGGATCCCAATTAATCTGTACCGAAGTAAGGATAAACAGTTCATCACATCCAATAAAAGAATTGTATCACATTTAAAAACTACATAATTTTATTGACGAAAACACCAGAATAAGTAAATACTTTGACTTCTACATTAGGATTATTTTCTTACCAACTGTGACATTTTGAAAGAAAATGGTTAGTTTTCAACTTTGGGGAAATCTCTTCTGGTCTTTTTACAGGGTTCCCGCGGGTCCTTAAAAAGTCTTAAAGCTACAGTGTGTAATAATTACAGGGATATACAGTCAGAAATGTAATATATTATACATAACTATGTTATTTATCATCATCTACGAGCTCAGCCTCTTAACCTTAATATTTGCGTTGCCTTAGAATTCGTTATTTATAATTACATAGGAGCGGGTCTCGCAGCCATGGAGGCAGACATTTTTGCGCTACGGCAGCGCAGGGCCAACAAACTAGCGATTGCGAGATCGCCCATTACGCTCGAAAGTAACTACGTCAAGTTGTGAGAGATGAACTGAGACGGTACTGAACACACAGACTAATGAAATACTATCTGTAAAATTATCTTTGTAAACAAACCTCATCCCTTGAGAAGGTAGGTGATGCGGACGTGGAAGACATTTTGTCCCGTAACGCTCGCCGTACTGTTGGGGGGGAGAAGCGGTGGGGGGGGGAGATGTTCATGTTGCTGCAGTCTGCAGTCTGACCGCTAGCTGTCGCTGAAAATTACACACTGTAGCTTTAAAAGGCATTGAATTCTTCAAAATAAAACTTAAGACCTTAATTGGTATTAAAATGTCTTAAATTAGTCTTTCGTTGGTCTTATTTTTTTAAAACATCATAAATAAGTTATTTATATTATGATTTTTTTTTTTATCTAAATAAAACATTTAAAAAAAATGTATTTAAAAAAAATTATAACGGCTCGCCATTATTGGTTCCGTCCCGATAGCGGAACCAATAAAGCGTTGTTGCGGCCGGAACATTTGGGAGATGTGCCATTTACTTTTTGTCTGGAAAATATGAGCTAGTGTAAATGTAACGAAAATGGCTATCCAGCCAAGAGTTTTCTCCATGGTTAAAACCAGTATCAGGGAACACACATGAGGCACAGTGGATTTTGTGCAAGAAGCAATTCAAGCTCAGAACGATGGGAATTAAGGCAGTGGAGTCACATGCGAAGCGCGAAACACAAAGCATCAAAATGGAGTTACAGAGAAACAGCCGTTATTTCTCAGTTTTGTTCCACCCTCCACATACTAAGAAAACCATACAAAGAAAAATAGCTGCAAAAAAGACTTAGCACTGGTTATGTTGTGGCTTTAAAACTGATTTGTTTTGTTCCCTGCTAAAACAAAGTTTGTGAATTCAGTTAAATAATTGTTAAAATATATCCGTCATTTGTGTTTTTAGCTTTCTTCCTGTATGGGAAGTTTTTCAATATTTTAAACATTAGTACAGTGGTTTATGTTATAATAAACCTTTGGGTTAAGTTGTCGCAAGCAGGTTTTTCTTCTGTTTCTTGTGAATTTGGTCTTAAATTTTTATTTCAAGTGGCATTAAAAAGTCTTGAATTTAACTTGCCTCATGCTTTAGGAACCCTGTTTTAAATCCCATTAGCTTTTTTTTCTCCACTACCCACTTATGAGTGAACATTAGATCCTGTAGTAGTTCGTTATTGACCTTATCCAGATAACGGACCGTGACGTATAGAGCTGTATCTGCATAAATATTTGTAAAACAAATTGCATATTATTTAGAAAAGATATAGTTAAGCAAATGACTGAGATAACAGCTATGGTGAATTCCACACGTTAGGGTAATAGTGTCAGTTGTTGTCTGTTGATGAAATAACGACTGAAAAACAGATCCATAAGCTACTAGTTTCCGAAGAAGAAGCTAACTAGAAATCTCAGAATGTCAAAAAGGTTCTATTTTTAAATATCTGCTAGTAACCAGGCCTTCAGTTCGGCTTAATCGGGTTAAAACATTTTTCGCTTTTTTCCTCCATGATTTGTAAAGTATTTCGTACTTTACCACTTTGGAAGATGTTGTATTGGAAAAGTTATGTTTCCCCCTCAAAATTATTTAATAAGTGCATTTGTATGTAAATTGTTTTTTTGTTTTTTTTTTCTATTTAAATCAGATTGTTTACATTTAGATTTTGAGATAAAAAAAGGTAAAAATAGAGGCTAAACTGTCTATAAAGCAGTTTGTGCTGTAATTCTTTTATTTTCCTTTATACTTTATAACAGCTTAACATAGCAAAAAGAAAACTTTCACAACATGCTTTTTCCCTTCCCACCTTTTCGCTTCTCATTACAGGCATGGCCGGCACCATCTACTTCCTGACAGACCTTTTGCAGCCAATGAGAGCGAGGTTTCCAGCTTTTGAGGTGTAGAGGGTGTCCACAGGTAGTCGCCTCCCTCGTCCAAAACACCAACACCGCACCACGCTTGCTGTCATACGCATGCAAGGACGCGACATCTCTTTAATCCTGCGACAAAAACGTCTTTTTACGCAGACGATTCCCTGTTTTATCTCACAGATCAGCTAAGCTTTCCGGTGCGTATTTTTTGTGTTTTTCAGTGACGTTGTTTTTCGGTTGTTTTGAAGAAAAGGTTGGTAACATTTGAAATGTAGATGTTTTAATGTCTAGATTAAAATAAAGAATGCATAAGTTGTTGTTTTTTTTTTTTTTTCCAAGGTGTAATAACACTTTAATTAAGGTAGTTATGAAACAGCTTGAGCTGTGTCTTATGATAATGACTGAAAAATAAAATTTGACAGATATATGCTTTAGTTGACTTAAGTTTTTTTTTTTGTTTTATTGTTTCCTTTCAGCAGCAGCAGCAGCTAGAAAAATACACTAGGTGGCAGCAGAGAGTTATTAGTCAAATGCCTTTACTGTCAAGTTTGACATTTAGTGCCAACATAAAAGGTTTTTCAAAGCCATCATGCAAGGGAAAATGTAAATATATCTGAGATTTAATATTAAAACTAAAACATTGACATTTGATTTTAAATTCAAAAGCTAAATGTCAATTAAATTGTTTTAATTGAAATCAGTCAATTTATTTTCAAAAAGTTTCTCCAAAAGCAGTTTTGGAAAACCATCAGCAACACAATCCGACTTATTATTATTTTTATTATTATTATTTTTTTTTTTTTAGCCCCTCTCACTACCCTCAGGCTGTTTTATGGGCCAATGCCAGCTGGGATCTTGGAGAGCTGTAGAGGAGTCAGAGCTGTGGTTACTGTACCAGAGACTTAAGAAATGGGGGCGCAGGAGAAACCCAACACCACCTACAGGACTGAAAGTAAAAATAGAGCTCATCTGCGCCGAAGGTGTGGCCATCAGGACACGGCTGCTGCTGCTGCTGTGCACGCACTCCTACAAATGTCCTCCAACGCTTTTATCCCTGCTGGAGTCCAACCGGTCGGTTACAGTCGATAAAGAGATGAACGGTCACATATTAGTGTTTCTGATTGGTGTTTATTTTATTTCTAATCTTTGGAACAAAATGTCAAAAATTTGTTTGTTGATAAAACAGCTGATGTTTAGAGACTCGTGTTTATATTGCCAAGAAACATCAAAGATGTGAGCTATGATTAAATGTATCTAACTTTCTGTGGATTGATGAATTCATAAGGTCGTGTAACATTTGAAGGGAAATGGAAAAATAAAGTTTGCAGCATTAATTTCAGTGAAAATCAATGTTTGTTGTAGTTTTTCAATGTAACGACTAACTTGATTACCAGAAATGTGGTGAAAGAAACCAGTTCTTTTACTTCTGTGGAGATTTTAACACTGTTTTAACTACCCTTTTCTTGCAGTTATTTACTTTGCCATTATTATAGCTGATTATAAAAAATAAAGTTGAGCCAAAGATCAAAGAAATGCCTTTCAAGAAGATTATGGATGACTTTCTACTAATGATGGATGACTTCCTGCTTGAGAGGCAGAAGCACCTCTAAGAAGTGAAATAGGAAAAAAAAAACAACACAAACTTTGAACTACAAATAAGCTAATCTTAAACTCTAAAACGCATAAAGAGACCAGAGTGGAGGTGATTCCAGATGATTAATATTGGAATAAAAACTACCTCAAACCTAAATTAGAAACGGCGTTAAATATGAGCTTAAACCAACAGGCTGAGATGTGTGTAAGGCTAAACAAATGTGGATTTGATGGAAATGTGAGTGTGTGTATGTATATATCTATATATATTTATTATGCCGCCTCCACCTAAAAATCGTCAGTTTAGCACAGACTTTAAATCTGATGCCTTTTGATTAATAAACCCAAAGGCACTAGGTTAAAGAGAGGGAAAAAAAGTAGGGGACTAAAAAGAGAGCCCTGTGGAACGCCATGGAGGGTTTAGAATCTGCTCTTCTAACATATGGTTCTGACTGCTAAAGAGGACCTAAATCAGTTTAATGTAGGTGCAAAAACTACCCACATGAAGCTGGAAAAAGGTCGTTTAGTCAAGCAGCAATTAAAAACACAAAGATGTTATTAAAATGTAATGATTAAGTAGTTTCTGTGCTGTGGTGAGTTTTAAAACCATACTGAGAAAAACCTCAGGATATTATGGTCATCTAAGAAGGGATTAACTGATTAAGATTGTAGAAGCTAAAGGATGCTTGGAGGTGAGGTGGTTGAAAGCTGATCAAATGTCTCAGAATCGCAGGGAAAAGTTGATGGCTGGATAGGGCCGCTACATCTGTTAGCCGTCAACCCCTGTATTGACGGGGAGCTCTCAAAAATCTACTGCATAACTCTGAGGATTTTATTAACTGACCAAACAATATTTGATAAATACTGAAAATTGGTTTATTTTATTTTATTTTTTAGCTCTGGGTAAGTATGAATTGAACAGTGCGATGATACATCCAACAAAAACTGAAATCATGAGCTCATTTTAGACGAGCAGAGGAACAGCCGGGAAAAAACATGGATGAATAAATTCCACAGAAACAGCTGAGGCCACCTAATTATTAAAATGTCTTACATGTAATTAAATCTCCGTATTAGTCCAAATGTTCTCCGAAGGAGACAAACAGGATTATGAACACAGAAAGAACGCTTGTCGATAGGGAAAGGACATAGGGTCAGAAAAGATGCCAAACATCCATCCTGTCATAGATCAATAATCATCATATTATAATGGACGACACGGCTGTCCAAATAAACAGGCAGTCTGGGCCGGGATATATCTGGGAGAATTGCAGAGATAGACACTTGAGGTAAGACAATCTGTCGACTGTAAAGTTATTGGTCCCTTGAAATCTAGTGTTTTTACCAAGCCATTTAGGGGCCTGCTTAAACATCAGGAGGATGCTTTGATCAGATGAGGACACTTCTGGAGGAAAACTGTTTGTTCAGGTATTGCTGCAAACAAATGGATTGGGAGATGGAATAAAAAAAAAATGTGATCCAGAAATAAAAGTAGGCCTAAACATAATTTTTTTTATAAAGAATTTGTTTTTGAGTTACTGCTGTCTTCTTGGGTTGTTTTTATTTTTCTCAACTTTTTAAAAATATTTTTTATTTTATTTTATATTTTCAAATAAAAAAATAGACATATTTTATATTTTCAATTTAAAATGATATAGTAGCCTATTGTTCTTTTACAGCTTAAATATATTTTTGCATATTGATTTTTTTTTTTTCAAATTGCTTTTTCCAGATAACCTCTATCCTAGTAAATTAACCCCACCCACCACCGGATCATTTTTGAATTCATTTTTGCCTGCGAGTTTGGTCTAGCCTAGATCGATGCCTCAGGCCCTAGAACTGGCTGGCCAATCACAATGCAGAGATGTGTTTTGAATTTCTGGATGCAAAGAGGCTCTACGCTCATTCATTTTTAAGAAGGACGGATTCGCCATTTTATCGACAGGCTGTTTGTTTACACTCCCCAACCAGCTTTCTGTCGCACTTACGACGTCACAGTCAGTTGTGCTCATTGGTCAGAGCATTGGCCAATAGGCACAGACATGGTTTGAAAAACAACGGGTTGTTCTCATCAACAATCTTCCAATGTCTCATTCATCAGGGCCAGACTAAATTACACATTTAATCTCACATTTAGTCTGGTTTATCAGGCTGGATAACCTCTCCACTGCGGCCATATTTTTCTCTGGAGAGAAGAGTGGAGACACGTTTCTATTGGTCTGTAGGGATCCTAGCAAAAAAATTGTATTGGTCAATGTGTGCACCAAGAGCGAAGCAGTTGCATTGGGCTTGACGAGAACAAAATGTGATCTGTGAAACGCAATTTGGAACGAAAAACGCAATGGAAAACAAATTTAGAAACAACTGAAAATAAAAAGTCTGTAAAAAAAAAAGTTTCTGGATTACTTTTTTCCCCCCATTTCTTTCCATCATCTTTGCTATAATGGAACAATATTCACTCCGTAAATAATTGCTAACCAAATAGTGCTTGCAGGAAAGAAGGCACTAGTACCAAGAAGTAGTGCACTCTTTAGCATCAATGCAGCTAGCATAGAGACGCCTTAGCTGCCACTAGCTTTATGTTTGCCCCTATCCTTTCCGTCATAGTCATATGGGTATAGCCAACCTCATAGAGTTTAACAGAAATAAATGTTCTTTTTCCACATGTACTCTTTGCATGACACATGCTAATCTACCCGTCATATGTTTTGGGTTTCAGAACTAAGCTAGCGTCATTCCTGTTTGTATCTGCCCTGTTTTGACAGGCGTGAAGCTGAAGGCTGTCTGGATTCAGCACAGCAGTCAGGTGCTCCTTCCATACCCAGATCTTACTGTTGACCCCACGAAAGATGAACGATAGGGGCTACAATTTGAAATATTCGGATTGAGCCAAAGACTCGTAACGTAAAGCCATAGCTGCAGTGGAATGTTCTAGATCACGGTGTTCTGGTGTCACAACGACACATTCGGAGTCTAACTGAGAAGCAAGACTTGAAAACTGATGTTAACAGATGGCACCAATGCAAAGCTCATAGAGACACTACAGTATTCGATTCTTATTACTGAGATTGAGGTGTAGATTATTTGGAAATTAAAAAATCAACGATACGACAAATTCCCTCTAAAAAAGCTCACAAGATGTTCATTTCAAGGCTGCTACTTCAATAAACATTTTAAAAGATAAAATCTGAAAGTTATGCTATTCTGTTCATCAAAACTTAAGGTGAGTGTTCAGAATTTGTTGTTTGAATGAAAACGATTAAAGTGCGTAGATCCAGACATGACTGCACTCAGGGTTTGTCTGTTTTTTTGTTTTTTTTTACAATGTTTACCTTTTCGACTGCAGATTTATCTGGTTTGTTAAAGCAGCAAAAGAAAAAAGGAAAAAACTTCTGTATGATAAACCTCATGGATCTCAAGTTTACCAGCATGCTCACCAACTCCATACCTGCCGAAGGGGAGTTAACTTTTCAACTGCTTTTTTTCCCTCTGCTGTCATTTCACCATATGAGGAGGAGTGTTCTGGCCGTTTTAAAAATATCACCTTGTAAATAAGATTGACAGGTCCAAGGATCCATCTGAGGAAAGCAGCCTGATCTGTTGCATTTCCCCCTTGTTAGCTATCCTCTAGAAAGTTTACCTCCACTGACCAGGTAGTTTTAGTATTTCATTCCTTAGAAATTATAAACCCCATGTCTTAATTCTGGAGACGTTGCTTGGCCTTCCAAAAATAGTCCCTTCCCCTTCTAAAGGCCGTCTCCCTTTGCTCTGAGGGGAGCACAGCTCTTCTTTCCCTAAGAAAGTTAAAGATGTTCCAAAGTGTCATTTGATCCCCCAACCCCCACTATGAGCATATGTGACATCACATGCCAGGCATAAATAAGGGGGCTTTGACCATGGCTCAGGACCACTCTATCTTGGGACTTCAGCTTCTCTTCTCCTTTCTTTCCGCTCCTCTGTGCACCTTCTCTCCAAAATGGTGTGTAGAAAATGTTGGATGGTTC